ACGAAACACTGCCCAATCAAAAGTGAAATAAAATGTTAAAATCTGACATTTGAGATACTATGTTAACTGCCATCGAGTCTGTTCCAACTCATAGCTCCTCTGTATAGGGTTTCCAAGGAGCGGCTGAAGGAGTTTGAACCACCGACCTTGTGGTTCAAACCGACCATGCGCTCCAGAGCTTTAACCACAGCGCCACACCAGAAACTTTGGGAAGGTATAAATACATCCTCCCTCCCAAAGGTTGCTGACACACAGGAAGAACAAAGGCCATTCTTATAAAGGAAACCTCCACTTTTTTAACCTAAATTCAGAAACTGTCAACAAGATGAGAACGTTGGTCAGTTCACTAGAGGTTCTCACGTAGAGCGTGAGACACACAGCGGGAGTGGAAGGGGGTTTCCCTAACTCCTCCCATTCAGCTAACTCCTCCCACTCCTTGACAGAAGTTGAGGGCAGGAAGAGAAGCAGCAAGCTACCAAAAAAACGTCAGCTTGATTTCCTTCTAAGGTGTATTAAGTCACTGGGTGTTCCAGCGCCAGGGGAAGTTCAGCTCATATCGGAAATATGCTTTTTTTCTGAAGCAAAGCTGCAGACAAACCCAGTGGTGGTGTTCCTTGGAGTGCATCTGTCCCAGGCCCATAGGCAGCTTCCTATTTCCGTCCTGGGGTGAGGGGGAATGTCATTTAATCATCAGTTTCTCTGACCCATGGCCAGTATTGCATCACAGCCTTAAGAACAAGTTTAACCTCCACACCACACCCAACACAGGGCTGCTGAGATCTTGTAACTCCATTTGTCAATATGAACACAGCAGCTCTATGCTATTTGCCTTCCACCCACTTCAGGGTGCAGTTTCCATCCATTTAAACATGTGATTCCAAGCCAGCTTGGTCAGAATCCTAGGGTACCTCAGGTGAAAAGTATTTTGTCTTATTTCACTGAGAAGGAAACTGAGACCCAGAAAGGAGAGTCTACAGGGGCAAAACCAAGACTGGAAGCTGAGCCTTAAGTCTCAGAGCGTGGTCCTCCAGGTGCCCACCTCCGCCTGGAGATGTCTCGAGGTGCTTTTCCTGTGATCTTTCCCCTTCCTCCAGCTATGTGTGGAGTGGGAAAGGAAATGGGCAAGGCAGTCTGAAATAGAGCTTTCTAGAACCAGGTAGTGGCAAGGAGGGGGTCTTTTCTGCAGGGGGCCGTACCTAGGAACTGACTCTGACAGCAGCTCACTGACCAAAGGGAAGGTTTCAACTCCAAGACTCAATGGGTATCCCTTGGCCAGCCTGCTCTTGACATGGCAAAGGGGGTGCCCTTATGTCATTTTAGGATTCCCATCCTATTTAAGAAGTGTTATTTATACAGTTCCTAAAGAGATCCTTGGAATGAATCCTTTTACCATGCAAACTTTCTGCATAAAGCAAGTGTGGCTACATCAACAGGCCAAGAGATCTTGTTAGCATGTCAGCTGTTAACAGTCCTCACTTCCTTATAACTCAGAGCTGTGGTACTTGTGTGCCCTCACACGCCTCTGTTCTGTGAGTCCAGATGCAGCCTTGCCAGAGGGCAGATGGAATCGAGAGCTATGTAAGCTATAAAACCTACACGGTTCGCAGTTAGAGATGAAAGGCCGCAGAAATGTTTATTGAATACAGTGCCAGGTTTATAAATAAAACTTATTTACAATTTCCATAGAGTTGGTCCCCCATCAGAGAGGTGGTTAAATCTCCAAACAGTTCATCTCAGAATTTACACACACATTCAAGTACATCTCGTCAAATAGCCGCAGTGAGAGCACCTCCCGTAACAAAAGAACTGCCACCATCTTTGCTACAGAAATGTTTCATGAACGTAACAGATTTGGAGACAGAACACACGCTCCACCCACACAGCTACCTTCTTACTTCAAGGGAGACAGACAGACAGACAGCCAAGATCTGTCTCCTACAGGTCAACTTCAGGGGACTGAAAACTAGAAAGTGCCAGTCAAAGGGAGAGTAAGACATCAGTGGAATCTAGTCACTGCCAAAAGGGTAAATATACTGAAGATATACAATAAATAATTCAAATATTTAAAGTAATTGAATGAACGAAGAGCAATTGTGACCAAATTTACAATCTGTGGTTAGGATGACGTTCCTAGTATGCTCAGGGGCTAATTAATACACACTACTCCTCTGATCTTGTCGCAGCAGCACAAAGCCAACTGGCCAGTCATTACAATATTGGTATGCGTACAATCAGACATGCGTTTATAAAGAGAATATAAAAATATGTACAAGAATTTTTAGTGTGTTTAAGTTGCCCAAAGACACCAATTATAGTGTGCAAAAATTTCATTTGTCCAAAAAAAAAAAATCAGAAACAGCCTTCCTTGGCAGTAGGGCATTTTCAAAAGCCCATCTCAAGTACCCACCCCAAACAGATGGAGAACTAAACTATCAAAGTGTCTGCCAAGTACTCAGTGGGTTTTTGTTTTTGATGGCAAGTCTCAGGCTAAAGCGGATGCCAGTTAAACGAATCACTTTGTATATATAAATATATGTATATATTTATAGAGCAGTTAGAAGTAGGAGCAAGAGTTTACAGGAGGGTGTTAACCAACAGGAAGAGTACTGCCCCCCACATCCAGCAACTTCCTCTCAAAAACCAATGCAGACTGCAAACACCCAACCCCTGGGCTGACTGTTCCCCAAAATGCAAGGGGTGAAGGCTTCCAGGGGTTCTGCCTCACCTGGGAACCACTGTGAAACTCAGTTCCCTGGGAAGGTTTCTGGTCCCCTAACAGGATCTTGGACCTTTAAGAATCTGGATTCAAAGGTCAATCAGTCCTTGATGGGCTGTTGGGACCGTAAAATGGGGTCCACCCAGCTTCTCAGAGACTTGGTGAAAAAGTTTTTAAAAGCAAATTCATCGTCCCCCCAAAGTGACCAAAATGCCACTAACCACATCTCTCTAGGAGAGCCAGGTCACGATGGGTTCACTCAGACTTCCTGGAGCCGGCAGTTCCCTGTCTCACCACCAAAGTAGAAACCCTAAGGTGGTCTTAAGTTTTCCTTCAGTCAGGGAGATGGAAAGACCAATCGTTAGTTCCTAGGATCAACCTCTCCCAGGGTAACCACCCAGTCCAAGGGCTGGTTACAGCAGCACATTGGCCATGTCCTCTCTCCACTGCTCTGACCTACCCCTCTGGCAGAAAACCTAACAAGCTGCAAATTGCCAGAAAAGACAGGGAGTAGGAGAGGGAGAAGCCAAAGGGAAGGGGGACTCTATCTATCGGCCCCGAATGCACCCAGCTGGCTGCCGAGAGCTCCCCGCTGCCTCAGAGCAGCCTGCCACTGTTTCCTGGCAAATGAAAACCGCCCACAGACACACACAGCCGCAAACTCCTTGCTATGAAGATACAACCAGTGAATGCTCTGAAAAACGTACAGCTAGCCTTCTCAAAAATAGGCATTATCTTCCTTCCAGAGGACTCCTTTTCAACTAGTCAATCCCACTGCAAAGCCCAGCACCAGCATCTCAGTTGGAGTTACAGGCTTATGAGACACACAGTTCACTCTGGCCTGGAGTGTTCAAGCTGAGGGTTAGCATTTAGTTCTGCTTGGGGCACAGGAAAGCAAAGTCAAGACTACTTGGGAAAAAAGAAAATGGCAAAAGGTTAAGGGAAGTAGAATCCTAAGTTAAAAGTCATGAATCAAAAGGTGATTGACTGGTAGTGTCTTCTAGACCTGAAGAGACAGGCTTAGCAAAGTGACTACTACTACCACACACCGCAAAGACTGAGTTACACACTAAATCCTGTCTCTTGCACAGATGGTCTCAAGTAGTGACATGAAACAGGTCATCATCAGTATGACCAAGAACCCCGACAAACACATGCTGGAGCGGTCCTTTATTTTCTTTCTACCTTCCCCAAGCACTCCACAGCCTGGGTAGGTTATTTGGGTAAGCGCACCTGCTCCCAACCTCACCCCAGTGAAAACGCACATCGATCTACATGTGAACAGAACAAAATAACTAGTATCTGCTTGGTTTTAGGCAAGGTCTCCAGTGCCAAGGTTGGTGCCTTTGGAAGGAGGGGAGTTCGATGTTGGGCTGTGGGTATTTAACTGTACACTCACCTCCAACTGCCTTGTCCCCATTTAGATTTCAGCTTTACAAAGCATGTAACACCACTTTAAGTTAATGGTCTTTTATTGGAAAAAAAAAAAATAATAAAGACTAGCATTTACAACTTGGAATGGACGTAACTGGTCATTTCTTGAACAGCAATGGTGAAGGTTGTGCTGAAGTCCACAGCCACGGCCTACTCTGCCGGCTCCAAGTCACGGTTCAGAAGGTGATTGTTTTTTGTTTGTTCTTTTTAAAAAATTAAAAAAAAAAAACAAAAACAACAAAACAAAACAAGAGAGTCCAAACATGCTCCCTTGGTAAAGTTTTCTGTTTTTAAATTTGTGTGGCCGGTGACAGCTGGACACCAGGTTGTCACTCTAACACAACTCAGATGCTAAACCAGCATACACAGGCCAGCATGCCACCAGCACGTCACTGTCACCGTGGGTCGGAGAACAGGGACGGTGTACAAGAGGACCATCCTCCCAGCGGGACTACGTCTCAACCCGTTGGCCTCACCCATTTCTCTGCACATTGTCCTGAGGTAAACCAATTTCAAATGTGTTTGTTTTCAGTATACCAGCTTTGACAGTTTATGCTGACGAAGTCTACTAGAACCCATTTGGACAGGTTTTGAATTTTTTCGATTGTGTTTTTCATGTGCCCAGTCGTCCGGCTGCATGCGTGGAGACCAGCCAGCCCACACAGTGCGTTCGTCATCAGCAAATGGAACGTGAAGGAGCCCACTAAGTGCTGCCTTAGCGTTACGGTAGGACAAGTATTTCTATTGTAAAACTGATGTGTAGCTTGATCTTTAGGGGACAGGACCACCAACCAATACATGCAGATTGTGTGTGTGTGTGTTTGTGTTGTGTGTGTGTGCGTGTGTGCGAGACAGAAGGTACTTTTGACATTCGGTTTTGCTATACAGAAACAGAATGAATAAATGAACTTTTTTTTTTTTTTTTGCAAGAGGTATAAGTAAAAGATTCAATTTGATTCTTCTAGAGGGAAAAGGAGTTGAAAGTAGGTCTTCATTTTGCAGTCATCATCTGTACGAATTCTGAAAAGACAAATAATCACAACTTTTGATTATCTTTGCAAACTGCTTTAATGAACAAAACCTCTCTCTCTGCTCTGCCTAAAACCGAGTGTCTAGTGAAGCAGTTTCCTTGTTTCTAAAGGTTCTGTCTATTAAAACCTAAACATGGTTGTTTTACCTTCATAGTTCACTTGTCCATCACCATCAATGTCTGCTTCTCTGATCATTTCGTCTACTTCTTCATCTGTTAGTTTTTCTCCTAAGTTTGTCATGACGTGGCGTAGTTCAGCCGCGCTGATGTAACCGTTGCCATCCTGTGAACAACCGGCGATTCCTCAGTTACTGACAGTGCTTCAGGGTGCGAAGTAGGCCTTTGAGTTCATTATAGCCACGCCTGTTACTGTCCACGCTCCACCTCCTGTCCCCACCTCCATCTACTAAACGTAAGCCGCTAGGCACAGAAACCTGCCAACTGTTTCGAAGCCAGCATATCAAGAGACTCCAGGGAGGAGTTCCCAACAGTAAGTCAGGACATCTACAAGCCAGATTTCAAAGGCTCAGGCAGTGAGACTAAGCGCTCGATCGCTAACAGACTGTTCGAGTATTCAGAGCTGCTAGCCCAAAAGGCCGGCGCAGGATTACCTTGTCAAAGACTCGGAATGCCTCGCGGATCTCTTCTTCACTGTCTGTGTCTTTCATCTTTCTAGCCATCATAGTTAAAAACTCGGGGAAGTCAATGGTGCCATTACCTCAAATTATAAAACAAAAAAAGCACGTGTCAAATAAACGCCCCAGGAATGCTAATCTGAGTACGAATTTTAGAACCACTGTATAAGACGGTAAAGCATCTCATGGAGAAACAGGCATATTATTTTATGAGGTTGAACCCCGTGAAACTGCCATCTTTTCTAAGTCTAAAATGTATCACACATGTAATTTCATAAGAGTTCAACCTAAAAAAACAGTGCCGGGGCAGCATTTACTACAAAGGACGCATTCTCAAACAGCCCAAGAGAAAAGACACCGCAGGCTAGATCTCTGTGGACAGGGGACGCACTAGCAAACACCTCCCAAGTTAGAGCACTCCCTCAGCCCTGGCTGGTGAGGAGAACAGCCTAAGGCCTAGAACTTGACAGGACAAAAGCCACTTAGTTAGACCTCATCCATAGGGGCCAGTTCTCAGCCACATAATCACACTCAGTCACCCAATCGTTTGCTCCCCAGCTCAGTTCCTTTCCTCCCGGTATGTTTTCACAGCTCAGACCACACACATTTAGAAAATAGCTAAAGAATCAATTCTACAGCCGGTATTCCAAACAACCACTTCTCTACAACTAGGAATTAGAGAAAAAACCAAAGTATGAACCACTTGAGTCACAGTGGAACCTGAATCACACGGACTTGACATTAGAAGCAACAAGGCCTTACGCTAAGGAACCTGAATCACATGACATCAGAAGAGACAAGGCCTTAGGTTAAGGAACTCACTTTTACCAGTACCCTCACATCAAACAACTGAGAGGCAGCGAGCGGTCCCCTCAGTCCTTGTGGCCTCCAAATTGCTAAAGTCATTGTTACTACTCATTCAAGACAAAATAAATGATCAGAAGTGCTATCTTCAGAGGCAGTGTCCTGAGGCACTGCCTGATCCATTACAAACACGGGATTCTGTAGACTGGCACAACTTTGGTCTATACAACATCCGACCTGAGGGACCACCTCCCTAATGGCCAAGGAGCTACATATAACTGGACGAGATCACACCACATTCCCAGAGAACTACGGCTAGTGTTACTTTCCAAAATAATAAGAAGCATGAAAACCTTTAGAAGTCACTCAAGTGGGCTTCTGAATGTACGTGACCAAATTTCTACAAAATCACCTCATGGTATCCTATGTCTTTAAAGGACAACTACAAGTCATCTATCTAGAAAGTCGAGTTCCCATCCAAAATGCTTGTTTTCAAAATTACATTTTATAATGCTACATATTAAAATAATATATATGATTTACAAACATAAGCTTGAGGGGAGGATGCACAAAGACTGTTTACCGAAGGAAGCAAGTGGTAAGTCTGCTGCTGTCCACTGCTGACCGTCTGGAAGGTTACTGGCTGCTCACCCTGGCTCCGTACAATTCCCACAGCCTCCCCCACTTCTGCTCGGTTCTGTCTCTTCACAGCCAACACGACCCACCTCCTCCAAGCCACGCATGAGCCTCAAAACCGCTTCAACAACACATCTACAGCTCACGTGATACTCAGTTCTATCTTAACTTCAAAGAATGCTCTTCACCCACTTCACTTGGGATTTCCCTTAAGAGACCACAAGTTGTTGTTGGTTTTTTTTTTTATACTTCCCTCACAGGCCAGTGGATGAAGACGGGGATAGAGGTGATGGCAGACACTCATTCCAGTCAGGACACATGCTAGACAGTGAGCAGGGTCAAGGGCAGGCCCATGGTCTTCTATTTTAATTGCCAATGGCCAAAAGGCAACTACGGAAAGGAAATCTTGTGACACGCCTGAACTTGACCTGCACAGCCCCGGCACACATGCAAAGTTCTGAAGCCTTACCATCGGCGTCTACTTCATTGATCATGTCCTGTAACTCCGCTTCGGTTGGGTTCTGACCCAGTGACCTCATGACAGTCCCAAGTTCCTTTGTTGTGATGGTACCATCGCCATCTTTATCGAATAGGGAGAAAGCTTCCTTGAATTCTGAAAATAAAAGTTCACCCTTTAGAATGAATGTCTTTCTGCAACACAGCTGCAAGCGACACTACCCTAGAGAGTTTGCCAAAGAAAGCCGTGCAACCAAGCTGGGCAAATGATCAGAAACTGCTGGATCTTTATATCTGCCGAAATAAAGACCACAGGAGTCCTGTCAGACTGGCCTTTGTAAAACAGCCCATAACGCAAACTTTGTTCTTAATGACCAATTCTACAAAACTACTATAATCTCATTTTAAAGACAAAGCCCTGGGTTGGCACTGTAGGATAAACACTGGGCTGCTAACACCACAAGTTTGGTGGTTCAAACCCACCAGTTGTTCCTTGGAAATCCTATACGGGGTCACTGTGAATCAAAAACGTCTTAACAGCACTTTACAAGTTGAATGATGATTAAATCAGTCCTAATTCCAATCACACATGTGGAGATTGGTCCACGTGTTCCCTGACAGTCCATTCCTGGTAGATTTCTGCGGCCATAACAACATCTTATTTCCTGGGACCATGAGAAGGTGACTCAAAACACACATTCCCAGGTAACCTTCGTGTTCTCGCAACAGTGTTCAGAACAGTTTAGTAGCACTTCTGGTTTCATTAAGAGAAACGTTCTCACAAAAAGTCCTCCAGGAACACTAAAAACTACTATCTAAACTCCCTTTCTCAGTTTATTACAATAGTCCCAACACACCTCCTTCTCACCCATCCCCCTTAATTGCAGGGCAAGAAGGACAAGGTTTCATGATGGTATTAAGGATTTTAACGTCAATTTTCCAGTCAGCAGACACAATGCATTTCATTTACAGAGTTGTAAAGGGTGGGTACCCATAGTCCACTTACTTCCACAGGCTCATCTACAAAATAAATGGCAGGGAAGACTAACGCTTGACCTGAGTTATTTCTTACTGTTTTCATTTGAATAAATTCTTAGAAATCGACTCAGATTGCAGGGGAAATGGGGGCTGGAAGAAGAAACCCTAAAAGTAAATGGGTGCCTAGTTTGGGCTTTCTGGGGATTTCGTGGTGTCATCCACTTACCAGCAATCTGCTCTTCGGTCAGCTGATCAGCCTACATGGAGAAAGAAAAGATTCTAATTCAGTCCTGAACAATATGGTTGAGACCAATACAGTTTTCCCCATTACATTCTCAATACTGTGTGTTTTAAACATCAAACTTAAAAAAAAAAAAAAACTGTTTAGTCTTTAGCTTTGTTTAGCACAAGCAATTAGAATAAAGAAAACCCTTTATGCAATTTCAAAAACAAAGAGTGTCACCGAAGAGGCAGCCATCTGCTGCTTCAAGCTTTCTTTTCTGGGCCTAAAGCTTACAGTGCAAGCTGAGGTGTAACTAGATGGGTCAGTTCATAATCTGAAAAATAGCACCTCTAGTGGCAAAAGGCTTCGAGCAAAGTCTGCAGTGGCAGGCTCTGAGAAAGAGCGCCACCTACAGCACTAGAAATACCACGACAGTCCCCACTTGCATCCACCAAGGACCCAGCCCTTCGCAGCCAGCAGCAGGCGTCACCACTGGCCACCAAGATCGTGGCCTGGGTCAGCCTTTCACAGTGCACCTTGCGCATTGCCTACGGCACGCCAGATCTCCAAACTGGCATTACGTAATGGCATTAGGTTGGATTAACAGGCTTTTAGATTCATTTTATGAGATACAATTAAGTGGAAAAAATATATAGCAAAGGGCTACCCCACCAATTTCATTTCCATGTAATAAATGCTTTCCAATCATTGAAATTAGGCAGGTACTTGCTAAAAGCCTACAATTCAGAATTGCTAATACCCTCAATCATTTTACACTAAAATTCAGAAGCTAGGCTAGTCTTACAAGGGCATTGTGTTAGCAAAATGCATACAGAAAAGTACCTGACAATTGGGAGATTATACCCATCTCTTTTCTAGAGGGGATGAACTATTTGATGGAGATTTCTTAAGGAAGACATAAACTCACAATAAACACACTTTGCTCAAGCTGGTAATGACCACGAAGGTAATTCTCACTTGTATTATTTGTTCTCTGCAACACTAAACCTGTGCCTTCAGCAGGGGAATTAGAGATCTCAAGTAGTAGCAAGCATTTTGATTTTAATGAAGGACGCCTAATGAAGTCCACATTACCAAGTTAAGTCCTAATACAAACCTGATGGCATGACAAGCATTCTAACTTCTAAGATTACGGAAACTTTCACTATAGGTATGATACTCCCAGTATTGATTCTGGGGGAAACCTTCTTTCAAATTAAGGCTGGGTCTTCCTTTCTATCCGTTAATACACATTGATTTTTCTTTAAATCATATGAAGGCGACACGCTGATTTATGTAACGCCAGGAAGACATCTGTCTTGTACAACATAAGCGCTGCCACACCTCGCAAGAGAAACTGTCACCTTATGGGATAAAACAGTCCCCACACCAGCACCCACCTTCCTCGATGACGATCCCCACCCCCTCCAACCGTCCTAGCTTCAGAGGGCAAAGGTGCTCCCTAATCCAGCAGGGAGGCATCAACCAGTCTGCAAAGCCATAAAATGCTGAAGATGATGTCAGCCGGGGAGGAGGCAGGGGGCTCTGGAAATACACCCAGCAAGGCCCACAGCCCCATGTGGTCATCTCGAAGTTGCAGAGAAAGCTGAAACCGCGGAGGGCATCTGCCTGCCGACTGGGCAGTGGTGGTGCGAAGACAGGGAGAAAGGCCAGGTGCATGGCCAGAGAGTTGGGCAGAGGTGCAAACCCTGGAGACAGGAGTTGTGGGGGGCGAGGCGTCCCCAGGGCGCATTGGGGGGCGCCCTCTGCTCCCACTGAGAGCGCTCCCCGCCTCCCACCCGCTGCTGCGAATCCGCCGCGCCGCCTCCTCCCCGAGCAGAAACTTCGCGTCTCTAATGGAAACCGCACCGCGCGCCAGCTCCCTCCTCCTCCGCGCCCCCCCCGCCCCAATTAGCGCGAACGGGGCGCCTCCCGCGGGAGAGCCTCCGGAGCTCCACCGCTCGCGCGCCCGCACTGCCGCAGACAGTGGGGGCTGCAGGGGTGCGAAACGGGGCGCCCGAGGCCCGGCAACGCCATAGGGCCCCGCCCGGGCGCAGGGCGGTCGGCCCGCGCTTCCGCCCTCTCTGCCCCCCCACCCCTCGCCTTCCTGCCCCCACCCCACCCTTCCCGGCTCCTTCCTTCCCAGCCCACGACCGCGCCGCGCCCCCCAGAGGGTGGAGGGGAGCGGGATCGGGGTGGGCGCCCCGCCGAGCAGGTCGAGGGGAGGTGGAAAGAGGCGGACGCCGGCAACACCGCCAGCACCAGCCCGGACAATGTGCGCCACGGGCGCCCCCCAACCCCAACCCATTCATTCCGCGAGGCCCGCCACCTTCGGGCCTAGGGTGGGGGGCCTGCCCCCGACCCCGCCCGGACCCCGCGCCCTTGGGGGCCCGCCGAGCGCGGCGCGGCGCGGCGCTGCGGGCGGTCAGGAGTCATGGGTGCAGGATGCGGAAAGGCCAAGCGCGGCCAGCCGCCGGGCAAGGCCAGCTCCGAAAAGGACGACACCGAAATTGAAATGAGGATCCCTGGCCGAGGAAACCAAGATGCAAATCGGGAATGCATCCTTCTTATCTGCAGCTGCTGCGTAACACCCGGAAGAGAGAAAATCCTCACACATTTTTAAAAATAAATAATAAAAAGAGCGGAACCAAAATTCTAGCAGAAACAGCAGCATGGGCAGCTGCTTCGCCGGCCTCAGCAACTCCCGACCTACCATGGTGCCAGCGAAGGGGGAAGCGCCGAGGGAGCAAGGGTGGCTGCACCAGCGCAGGGGCTGTGATGGCGGGGTGTCTCTGTTGCTTCTGCGGCGGCCGCTGCTGCTGTTGCTGCTGCTGCTGCTAAGGAACCGGGTGCGGTATGCGCTGTACCACCGCCGCCTGCGCCGCTGCCGACTACAAGTAACGGCGCCGCGTCCGCGAGACTCCCAACACCACTGCCGAAGCGCGAGCCTGCGCGCCACGATATATATACGGCACACCGTATCCCTCCGCCGCGGCCGCAGCCGCCCCGCGCAGCGCGGCGCTGCAGTGATCGGGCCTCGCCTGCCTGGCCCCGCCCCTAGCGCTCCCGGCCTCCCACTGCCCTCGGCGCGTGCGGCGCGGCTGGCCCAGCCCGGGAAAGGGGTAGGGAAAGACCTGGAGAGGAGTGCGCGCTTTCCGGGCAGGTGCGTCGAGGAATCCTCGGTGCGAGGGCCGAATGGTCCTGGAGTCCCAGCCGGGAGTGAACCTGGCCTTGGGAAGCTGTTCGCCCCTGACCTCCACTTATGTGAGATCCCCATACACCCCAACATCGTCCATCGCCCGGGGTCCCCTACGGGCCTGATGGGTACGGGGGGAGGGCGGCGAGGAGGCGGAGGAATTGACTACACACCTTCAGCTGCCAGGGGCTGGAGGGAACAAGGCCGGGCTACAGGTTTCCTCGTGGAAGAAATGGGTCGGACGTTTTTCTTTTCAAATTTTGAAGCAGTGTCCATGCAAATTATATATACTAAATTGCCATGTCCTTGCCATGCTCATATATGCTTAACCAGTGTTCTTTTAATGTTTTTACGGTTCCGCTGAATACATATCTCCCCTCCTGTTTTGTTCCCTTTTTTCCTATGGAAAATATTATTCATTCTAGCTCCAGAGTGAAGCTAATGCACCTACCAGCCCTCTATAGACTTAAAACACATGCTTTAAAACATAATTATTATATTTCCCTGGTCCCAAGAGAGATCAGGATCTTTTTTCATAAATACATAGAAACAAAGAGTTTAATAATAATAATAGAACCCCCTAGATTGCAGCTGGTGTTCACAGCGAATTGCCTCTACTGTATAAACTGCATATTTTAACCTACAACCTGATTCTATACCTTTTAAAAATAGTATCTTTAAATTCACAAATGTTTCCAATTTTTCTGTAAAGGGAGGAGGAGGGGAATTAGTCATTAGAATTAGGCCAGAATTTGTTTTTGTGTTTTAAAGTTGTGACAAAATGCTGCAGTTTCTTTTCTTGCCAAGGCAGAACACAGAATTTGATCTTTTGTTTACAGGCTGGGCAACAGTTGCAAGTTATCATTTGCCTCCTCTTTCAGACAATGTGGCAAAGTGTTTGACTGGCATGCTGTGCTAGAAAGGTCTTTGCTTAGTTAGGGTTTGTTTCTAGTTTTGAGGAAGTCTGCAGAAAGATGTTTTCAAAGAATGTAAAACGTTGAGGCACATTTGCAAATACTACCCAACTTCTCAGGGTAACCTCAGACAGTATGCCAGCATCAATTGGCCTGCTCTTCTTTTCTGATGTTCCGTCTGGAATGCTGCAGACAGGGTGAACCTGCTCTTAAGTTTTTTTTAAAAATCGCTGCAGTAGCAAGCTAGAGAATGAGGCTCCTTTCCCTTTGCCGGTGAGAAGGACATGATTGGCTTTATAAATCTACCAAAAGACAGCAATGACAGTAATCCTGTGCTTGTGGGGAAACTCTGACTGAAAGTAAAGTTAACATTTTAATGGGAGAGTTGGAAAATTAGGAAATATAGGAAAGGGGACGAATAAAAAAATTAATTGTTTCTGCCAGGCTTTTCATATAGTTAGTTAAACACATTTTTAAACCATGGTATGCATTCTTTAAGTAGAGGAAAATAATGGCCTAGAAATGAAATGTGTTTAATTATAAAGGATTCAGTAGCTTCTGAATAGTTTTCAATTCCTTTTAATTATTTTGACTCAGGCATCTACTGAAATTATCATTTTCCTCTGTTAATTAGCCTTATTTCCCAAATAAAATACAGTAAAATTATTTTTTTATTACTTTACTTGCCAAGAATGGTACATATGTAAATGGGCAATAATTTTCCTTGTTATAGTCAAATTCATGATTCTGATTCTTCCTATTTTACCAGCTAGAGTAAGTCCTTTGGTAATTCATGTATCAAAGCACATCTTAAGCTTTCAAGTCTATTGGGTCTGTAATGAGGTCATGCTTTACTCAGTTTTATGGCTAGGTTGACACACTGAAATATAAGAAGGTCAAGTGACTTGCCCAAGATCTTACAGTGAGTCAGTAATGGGGCATAAAATAGAGCTTAAGTTCTTGCTCTGTGGCTCTAATATTAGATGATATATTGGTGCAATCAATAGCTGAGATTTTTAAAGGTACAATGTTAAATATTTGTCTGTTGCATGAAGCAGATTCTACTGACTCACCACTTTGATGGTGACTGGATTTTCAATAAAGTCAAATAAACTGATTTAAGTGAGTACACTTCTTAATTTATGGGGCAATCAGCAAGTGGGCCAAGAAGTCCTGTTATTGTGATACCATAATTCTCTAAGAACCAAAAAGTCTATTATGGGAATTTTTGTGATATCGAGAGAAAAAGGTTGTAATGAATTAAAAAAAAATAAAAACACTAAATGGAAGAAAAGTAGAAAGAATACAGCTCAAAATCAGGAAGCGAGGTTTGAATACCATTCCTGTCACTAAACTGATCACCCTATCCCTCTGAAAAAATATACATATACAAGAACATTTCAAAAAGCTCATGGAAAAACAGGATGAAAAGGTATGGAATTTTTCCACAAATTTTTTATGAAGCCTCCTCATATATATAGACTTGTATGTCAAACAAGAGATTTGAACCTGATCTATAAATTCCTTCCAGCTATAAAACCCTGTCTTAGTTTATAATATATATGATTACTATAATCATGTTGTTACTGTTAAGTGCCATCAAGTCGGTTCTGCCTCACAGCGACCTGGTATAAGGTTTCCGAAGTGCGGCTGGTGAGTTTGAACTGCTGACATTGTGGTTCGAACCTACCTTGCGGTCCACTGCTTATCCTACAGCATCACACTATAAAAAAAAAAAAAAAAAAAACAAAAACAAATAACCGGCAAAACAAGAAAAGGGGGGAAAAACCTGAAACTGTTCACTACAGATTAGTGAGTAAGCACAAGTAAGCCTCTGCTTGCCTTGCTTAATGGGTATACCTTCCCTGTGTTGAAAAGAGGCTTTGAATCTCTAGGAAGGTGCTTTGGGATTTGGAGAGAGATGCCAACCAGACCCAGTAGCAGTATCTTTGACATGGCGGGAAAAAAATGTGAAATTGTTCACTGTAGATGAGTAAGCGCAAGTAAACCTGTGCTTACCTGGCTTACTGGGTAATCCAACACAAAATGTTCCCAAACAGCTCCATGTCAACCTGTAATGTGTACCTCAGTCCTGGTGTTTTAAAACCTTATTCCTTTGTGTCACAGAGGACTTTCTTATCCTCCATTCACAGGGCACTGTAGGATAAGCACTAGACCACAAGGTCGGTTTGACCCACGAGGTCAGCAGTTCAGACTCACCAGCCACTCCTCGGAGACCCTATACTGGGTCACTGTGAGTTGGAATCGACTTGTTGGCACTTAACAACAACAACATTGACAGGGCTGGTGTTTGTTTTGCTAGTAGCTGTGGTGATACATTTCCACTCAGCGTAGTGGTTACAAATCAGGCTGCTAACCTCAGGGTTGTTGTTGTTGTTGTTATGTGCTGTCGAGTCGGTTCTGACCCATAGCGACCCTGTACAGGGTTTCTGAGGATGTAAATCTTCACAGGAGTAGAACGCCTCATCTTTCTCCCGTGGAGCAGCTGGTAGTTTCGAACCGCTGACCTTAA